AGTATGGAGGTGTATTGCATTGCAGAATGGTAGAGCCAAACTATCTTCTCAGCTCTGTTTCTTGCACTAAGACAGATCACATTGTCTACAGACTTTCCTTCTAGAAACTTTAGAGACCCAGTGATGGAGTGCTTTGTCCCCATGGCCTCCCTCCTTTGAGCCACACTTGATTCTTGTTTTTTTTTTTTTTTTTTTTTTTTTGTGGGCCACAGTTGACACCACATCCACATGGGGCATAAGAAGCAGACAACTAGGCCTCTTACCTTTCTCAGACATGAAAGGAAAGTGAGACCTCAGACATGAGCACAGGCTGCTTGAATAGTTGATTGGAACTGTTGGTCAGTATGCTCAACACTGCAAGACCTCTTGCAGCCTGGAAGATATTTGGAAGATATTTTAAGGGGAGATTAGCAGGGTTAGGGAAGAAAGGCACAAGAAAATGCTGTGTGAGAAGAGCAGATGAAAAGGGGAGCAGTTCAGAAGTGTTAGAGCCAAATATGCTGTTAGAGGTGTTTGAAGGACAAGAGCAAGGAGATATGATTGTTTGGATTTATCTTGTTGTAGATAAACTTTTTTTCTCTCTGTCTCTTGTTTGGGCAAGAAAAATATTAGACATATAATAAGTATTTGGGGGGAGATTTATAAAATTTATTTATAAAATTACTGATGATTGAGAATACGGATTTTCATGAAAATTTCTAATAAGTCCTATGTTTAATATTTTAGTAAATTAAAAGAAGTTCCTGAGAAAAAATGTTGGAAGATGCTGTTTTAACTTTCAGATATTGTAGTCAGATTCACTAATGTCTTGCCTTACTCATATAATTCTCTCAAGTTTACTTTTTCCTTTATTCTTAATAGATACCCAAAGAAATGAGTTTTTGTTATCTTCAGTGATGAGTACCTCAAAGTACTGTGATAAATAGATCCATAAAAGCATAAAATCACTAAACAAAAATAACCAATAATCAACTTTCTTTTAGTGTGCTCTATTTGAAATTCCTTAGTGGTATTACATATTCTAATGTGTTTAGAATCCACTGTGATGCCATGGAATTATGTCCTAGAAGTCACTGACAAAAGAAAAGCAAAAACACAAATTCTATGCATCTCTGTTTTTGCTGAGACTGACAAAGTATAGTATTGATGTTACATTTAAGTACAGTGTAGCCAAAGCCTTAGTATCGCCACTGTTGAACTCCCATAAGGTAGCCCATACTCCCATAGCCTATCTTTTCATAATGTCAGCTAATTTGGATAATATAGTAATTACTTGTTCACTAGGAAAAAGTATGAGAGAAAAACTACAAAAGTACAAAACTGCAGTTAAACTAAATGCATTTTTCATGCCAGCTAGTGCTGACTAAGTCAGCAAACTTCAGATTTGGGACTTTTGTGGAAAGTATTACACATACAACTTAAGTTCACAATTATTTATGATATGCTTGAGCAAAGAGGCACTACTGTGTTGATCTCTGCCCAGATCGTGGTCAGTGGAAAAGGCCATTTGGACTTAATGGATATTGTCTTAGAATTTTCTATAATTTCCACAGTATTGTAATATGCTATTTTCATAATTTAGATATACTTCATATTTTTCTCTGTAGCTGAAAAATATTTATCTCACTAGACACCATTTCAATATTGAGTAGCTGCAGCCTGATGTAAATTATATTCTTTAACAAATAAATAGGTTAAGATACTTGCATATAATAATGGCATATTGTTTAGATCTCAATAGCTTCTACATCTGTGAAGTATGTTGGTATTAGAACAAACAGTAAACAAATAAGGACACTGGCCTTTATAATTAGTGAACAAGAGATATCAAATATCACAGAATTCCTGCCTTGCAGCATTTAATATAATTTTCATTATGGTGTCATAAGTTAACATGATTTAGGAGTGTTGCTCATTTAACATTTATTGTTTTTAAAAGATATAATACTTAGCAGAATGTATTTGTCACAAAATTTCAATGAAAGTACCAGTTTTATGACATCCCCTTCAGTTCTGTATGTTAAGCAGTAGAGGCTAACACTGCCTTTCTCAAATGTCTCTGGGCACCTTCACACCCTGGGGATTTTTTTTGAAACGTTTGAATTCTCTGAAGGTTTGGAATGGGCCCAGGAAGTGCTGTTTCTGACAAGCTCTCAGATGATGCTTATTCTGCCAATCTGAGGACACACTCTGAGTAGCACTGGGGTGGTACTGTGACAGTCACTCCAGAGTTAGTAATCTAGAAGGCACTTAAACTTACTGTGTGGAGAGACTATAAGTTCACAATAAAACTTTCCATATCAGACAACCCATTGTCATAAACTAGTAAGAACTGAGACTTCATAAGTAAAGTGTTAGCAATCAGAAAACAGATAATAAACCACCCTAATAGAATATGACATCATTTTCTTTATATTTCTTACAGTATTCTAATGGATTTCTATTTTTATATCAAGACAATTTCCTATTTGTGCTAATTTTTTTTTAACATCATGTAGCATAGGAATTTAAACAATATGTGTTCTTCTTTCTGTAATTGAAAATTTTTCCTAAAATGTAAGGAAATTATTTAGGTCATAAAGTTGTAACTGTCAAGCCATTTGAGAATAGTAAAATAAGGAGTTGGTTATGACTTTGGAAATAGGCATCTGTCTTCCAGGGCACACTTTGGTTACCATGGCTCCAACATTAAGTTTCTTAGTGATCTTTTTCTCTACAAACTATATATTTTATATTTCTGTCCCTCTTGCTTTTTTCATTGTATATCTGCACAATATTCATCATTAATAACCATATCACACATTCAACTTTAGGCTGCCTTAAAATCTCCTCCATCAAAGAAATTAGTCCATTACTTTTAAACTTAGCCTCAGGTAAATTCTTGAACCTAGGGCAAATGACACCCAGATTCCTAACCAAAATATCTCAGTTGATATTTACATCCATTTTCCATCTCCCTCTGTAACATCTTGAGCCAGGCATTTACTAGAATAGCCCATTAAGCTCTGCTTATAGCATTCAACCGCATTTCTGTTATAAACTTCCAAAGTCTTCCACATTTTCCACAAAGCAACATGCTTAGGTTCTTAACAGCAACAGCCCACTCTCCGGTACCAGCTTCCATATTCATTATTTTTCTGTTGCTATGTTTAACACCATGACCAAGGTAACCTATAGATGGAAGAGTTTATTTGGGCTTACAGTTCTAGGGTATGAGTCCATCATGGCAGGGAGGCATGGAAGGAGGCATCTGGAGCAGAAAGTTGAGAACTCATATTGTTAATCATGTGTAGGAAGCAGAGAGACAAACTCACAATGGGATAAGGCTATGAATTCTCAAAGCCCATCCCAATGACATACTTCCTCCAGCAAGGCCACACCTCCTGAAGGTTCCTTGACCTTCCCCAACTGACCAAGTATTTAGAGTCTATGGGGGACATTTTCATTCAAACCATCAAAAAAACTTAAGCAGTAGGTCTGAAATCTCTAACACTATGTGCCAAAACAAACCTTTTCTACTTATAAGCTGTTTTATCTCAGGCATTTGTCATAGTAACAGAAAGCTGACTTAAAATACTCACCTTTCCTCATTGAATTGCTACACCTTTGCAGAATCAGTTGACTGTATGTGTGGTCAGTTTCTAGGCTCTTTATTCTGTTCCATTGATCTTTGTCATTATGAATCTAGGAGTACAGTCTTCATTACTGTAGAGTATATCTTGAATGATAAATGTAATAATCAACTCATCTAAGTTCGATGACAGCCTGGTCTCCATTAGCGAAGCCAGGCCAGCTGTGGCTATAGGGAAACTTTGTCTCAAAAAACCAAAAAAAAAAAGGCTACCCTGTTCAGGCTCTGGGGGAAAATCCAGTTCTTGTCCCTTCTAACTTCTGGAAGCCACAGGCATTCCTTGGTTTGTGATGCCATCACTCCCGTCCTTAAGACCAGTTTCATAGCACCTCATCTGTGTTTGCCTAATGTCCTTTTGCCTCTTTCTATAAGAATGCATTCATTGGATTTAGGACTCTTGTGGATAATCCAAAATAATTTTCCCATTTCAGAATCTTTGATTGCACCTGTACATTTCTTTTCATTTTCAAAATAAAGTAATATATTTAGGAGTTATAGAATTGGATTAGATCTTTGCACGCCATTACCAACCTAACATAGACTGTATTATTCCTTTTTAGATTTTCTTTTGTTCTGGAACTTGCTGTCAGAACAGAGTGGAACTTTTAGCACCCCAAATGACATGTTTACCTTATTGCTATAATTGCCATTTTCAATTTTTTATTACTTTTATTTTGTGTGCACATGCCATAGTCTCCTTCCCCTGTGTAAGCCCCAGGTATTAAACTCAGTTCATCAAGCTAGCAACAAGCACCTTTACCCATCAAGCCTTGTTACCCATCCTATAATTGCCATTTAAAAAATTTGTAAGTTAGCGAAATCATGTGTTTCATTATGGCATTTTCACACATACTTTGCTTTTCCCCCTCTTCCCTCTTGCTGTTTCCCTTCCTCCTTCCTAATAGCCCTCTGTCTTTCTTTATGTCCCATGTAATCCATTACCCTTTTCTCTTTCTCCCCTTCCTTCAAATCTGTTCTTTCCCTCCCATGGCCTTCTTTCTAGTTTCAACACACACACAACGTGCACACATGCATGCACGCACAGACACACGCACGCACACACACACACACACACACACACACACACATTTAAATCTAAGTTCCACATATGAGAAAAAACATGCAATATTTTTCTTTCTGGACTATTTTGTTTAACATAATCTCTATTTCCAATTGTATCCATTTTGCTACAACTGTCATTATTTCATTTTTCTTTATAACTGAGTACAATTCCATTGTGTATATGTACCACATTTTCTTTGTCCTTCTGTTGATGGACATCTAGACTGGCTCCCTTTTCTTAGCTATTATAAGTAGTGCAGCAATAAGCGTGGATGTGCAAGTGTCTCTGGTATGCTGGCCTAGAGTCCTTTGGGTATTTACCCAAGTGGTATAGCTGGATCATATGGTAGTACTGTTTTTCGTTTTTTCGAAGAACTTCTACACAACTTCCATAGTGACTGCAGTTTATATTTCTACCAGCTATGCTGAGAGTCTTCTTTCTCTATAGCATCACCAACATTTCTTGTGACTTATTTTCTTGATGACAGCCATTCTGACTGGGATGAAATGGAATTTGTTTTAATATGCGTTTCACAGATAGCTAAGGTTTTGAACTCTTCACCAATATTTATTAGCCATTTGTATTTCTTCTTTCTAGAACTATCCAATTCATTTATCCTATTTATTGATTATTTGGTGTTTGATTTTTACAATTCTTCATATAATCTAATTATTAATCCCTGTGTGATTATAATTGGCAGATTTTTTCTTTACAATTTGTAGGCTGTCTCTTCTCAAGTGATATTTTTCTTTGCCGTGAGAAGCTTTTTAATATCAAGTCATCCCATTTGCCAGTTCTCAGGATTATTGGCACTTTAAATGAAATATATCCATTAATTGATTGCTATAGACTGACATTAAATTCTGGATGGACAGCTATTTATTTCAGTAGTAGTCAGAAAAATACAAAGTTATAGAAAGAGGTTGAATTATATTTTGGCTATCATAGAAGCAATATATAACTCATCATAAAATTTAGTGGTACCTTTTTGTTTGGTGCACCAGGGAACTAATTTCTGGTTTTGTAGAACTTTCTTTATCAAATTGACACATCATCAGGCCTGCTCAGTAGAATCTCTGCAATGGCGTGTTCAAAATTACCTACTTTTTAATCTGTGCTACTCTTTAGTTAGAAGCTTAAAATGATGTTTCTGAGGACTTATGTAATGCTTTTAACATACTGAGATTAAGAGATTTCACATGTAATTTTGTTCTGTTTTGTTTTTGAGACAGGGTCTCACTATGTAGCCTAGGCTAACCTTGAACTTGCTGTGTACCCCAGGATGGCCTTGAGTTTACTGCATATCCCAGGTTGGCATCACAGTTGTGGTGATCCACCTACTTCAGCCTCTCAGTGCTGAGTTTGAAAGTGTATACCACAGTATGTGGCTTAGCAATGTACCTTAAATGTGCACTGTTGGCATATTTGACTATGTCACACATAATAACTTTGATCATAGCCAGCTCTGTTGCACACGGTGTTACAAGAACCCAACAGCTAGAGAACTTAAATGCAACTGATGCTGTCCTGGCTTTGAAATGTTTATTCCTTGAATATCCTAACTTTAGGGATATATGAATAATTTTCATGAGCAGAAGTAAGTCCTAGGCAAAGATGAGTCAGTGAAGCCTTCCTTTCTTTTTCTTTTCCTCAGTTATTATAACAGTTTAAACATCTAAATATTGGTATTGGATATTTGTCTTAGAGAGAAAGAGAGGAAATTTGCCAAAGGGGAAAGTAGAAATCTAATTCTCCTTCTTTGCCCTATAATCTTTCTGCAACAGTATAGCTTTGGCTCTGCTAGGAGAGATCAGCAACAATGTGGAGGTCACCATGACAATGAAGCCATTCTTTTTTTTTTTTTTGGTCTTTCGAGACAGGGTCTCCCTGTAACCCCAGGTGTCCTGGAACTCACTATGTAGACCAGGCTGGCCTTGAATTCACAGAGATCCACTTGCCCTTGCCTCCCAAGTGCTGGGACTACAGGCATGCGCCACCACACCTGGTGACAATGAATCCATTCTTAAAAGCAGCAGTTCAAAATTTAAAAAGCAAAATACATACTTTCTCAAGTCAGGATTGAAAATTAGTCATTTAGTTTCATGTTACCATGATTTATTGAGCAAATTTGACCTTAGTAACTTGAATAAAAAGTGACATGGTACTTGTGAGAGCCTATGCGCTTTTGATGTCTCTAAGGCAGTCAGTGGAAGAATGTATATGATTAAACCATTACCTGCTTATTATGGTGAGACATCCACCTTGATGTGTCATGAAATGTGAGTGTAGCCATTTGCCTGTTAAAATATTAATATTAGTAAATAAATATAAAAACTATTCTCCACTCAAAGAAAATTCCTGTTTACCTTTGAAATTTAAATATGTTCTGTAATAATTTTGATATGACTTTCAAAGTAATTACTGGTAGAAAAATTATAGATAATGCTGTGGAGAATGAAAGTTATATATCTGAACAATTGCACTGTTATTCTCAGATTACTTTAAGGGAAATGTCCCTAAATTTAGATAACCTCTCTTCATTTGTTTGTTGAGAGAATTTTTAGATAAAAAAGAGACAGGAGAACCCAAGAGAAATGGAAGAAAGGAAAAGCAGTGAAGCCGTCCGTGAGCCACATTCCAGTGAACATTTTACAGTTAGTGTGTTGAGGCAAAACTTTCTGCTTTTGACCAAATACTATGACTATGACAGTATTACTAAAAATTTCTTAAAGTTAGAAAGCTCAAGAGAAACATGTTTAATGAATTCATATTCAAATTTTTTGAGTTCCTTAAAGTTTCATTCAAATGCACCCTAGAGTAATCAGCTTCCAACAAAAATTTGGGAATTTATGCAATCTTCAGGGCTGAGGGAGAATGTGAAAGGTGTTCTCTTTTTATAATTTTATATATATATATTT